TATCTCTTTCTTTCTTCCTTAATTTCATTCTTTCTTCCTTTCCCTCTCTCTTTCCCTCTCTTTTTCTCTCTCTCTTTCTCTCTCTTTTCTCTCTCTCTCTCTCTCTCTCTCTTTTCTCTCTCTCTCTCTCTCTCTCTCTCTCTCTCTCTCTCTCTCGCTCTGCCTCTCTCTCTTTCTTTCTCTGTCCTGCACCCCCTCCCCATCTTTCACACAAACGTGCTTACAAATTCTCACGCGCTCATACATGTGATGTGCACCCTTAATCAAATAAATAGCTTTTTATTCTGTTTTCGACGCTGATAGTATAGACTTGCTTTTCATTCCAAGCAGGGTGAATGGGGTAATGTGTTTCTTAGACAGAAGGCATCCATCGTCAAGTCAGATTTACTGTCTCCGGTACCTCTAATCGGCCTTCATCTTTTGCGCTGGCCAGTAGTGGTACGCAAAATCCGGATAACCGAATAATTCTCATTGAAACATTATCCCAATTCAGACTCTTAAACTCTCTGTCCTTACCCGTTTGCTGATGTGGGTGCTCCCGGTTGTTGAAGTGGTTCTAATCCGTTTGTCGAAGTGGTTCTAACCCATTTGCTGAAGCGGTTCATAATGCCTTTAATTGCCGAAGAGGTGCACTAACGTATTGTCCGAATTTTGCTAAAGCGACTCATTGCCCAGCCCTACTGGCCGAGCATAGTACACTATCGTGGTGGAGCAGATTAATTGTACTGTGGCGAGTAATCACGATAGTTGCGGTCTTGCATGAAATATCTATGATGGCTCTAGTGTGTAGCTCGTAGTCCACAGAGGGCATCAGATGGTAACCTGATTATTTTATGGGGGGATGGGGGGGGGAATGATGTATCGGTGGTACGCATATGTGGGTACTCAAACGTGCAAGTGCACGCAGGCACACGATTCATACGCTTTCGCACGCACATGCAGTATGGAAGGACGGACGCTCACAGGCATATGCTTACACACACACACACACACACACACACACACACACACACACACACACACTCACACACACACACGCACACACATTCAGACTCACACATATACACACAGACACATACACACACACACACACACACACACACACACACACACACACACACACATTTTTCTCCAACCGCATTACACGTATATTATAGATCTATGTATATATTATGCTGTGGACATACACATGAATATAATTAGACTGATTATAGTCTCTATGACTGTAAGTTAAGACGTCATAATATGAACCCTCCAATGCCAGGGTCAAACCGGCGGAAAAACACATACTTCATTTACTTTCTGCCTAGTCTCGTCTGGTCTGGTCGAGTGACGTAAGAGAGAGCTCGACGTCAGTAACCTTGTCCTTCCCCCCTGTCTCTTAATTAATTGTTGTTTTCTGTCATTTTTCCTTTCTCTTTGTCCTTTGTTCTCCAACACCCTCCC